AGACTAGCTAATAATGACTTTAGCAATTTTACAAAAAAAACTAGGTACAACTTGTTTAGCATGAGGCTGTTTTGCTGAATCAGGACAGCAGAAACTGTAACTCACAGCAGTGTAGGAACTAATATTAGATTAGGTGGTTAGATAGTATAATAGAGTATAATATACTCTTGCCAGGGCTGAGAACAAACTTATTTTAATTTGTTTTCACTAATTCTTGTTTCTCCTTGTTCTGTCCTTACTAGATTTTTCCTCCCCATATATTCTCTGTATTTTAATGGTGGCAGTATTTGTTGCTTATAAGTACGCTTCAAGGATGTTCCTCTGTGGGCTGAGAAGTCCTGCCTTTTCCAGAAAGTTCTTTGGAGAGCAAGAGACAGACAGACAGGCACAGACACTGGCTACACATAGGGGGGTGCACATGGATGCACATGCACCCCCTGAACATGGAGGTGGCACCCCCCATGGAAAGATGCTGCTAATGGCATCTGCAGGTGGTCAGCAATTGCTGCTGACTGTTGCCACCACTGCCAGTAGCATCTGTGGGTGGTCGCCGACCCCTGGTTGCCAGTCACCCCTCCCCCCACCCCCAGCAGCATCTGCAGGAGCTCACTGCTTACTGCCTTTGCTTACCACTGCTGCTTACTGCTGCCGTGCTCCCACCACCTCTGTGCCCCCCCAGCTTCTGGAGGCATGTGTTGTTCATGCACACAGAGGAAATAAATAGCAAATGAATGGCAAATAAATTAGAGCTGTTCATTTTGGAGTGCCTATGGGTATTGATTTTTGAAGGTTCAAGTGTCCTTGTAGAGCCAAAATTGATATTTATCTGTTATCATAATATGTAGGAAAGAATAAAACGTGAAGCATGCAGTGATGTGCAACAATATAAAGGAAATGTTGATGGTACCTCTAAGGAGTAAACTCTTTATAAACCCAGTTGTACCAGTCATGGGTAGATACTGATCTTTTGTTAGTGTTTCTTTTTTGTTATTTGATTATCATAAATCATTTCCTGGCCGAATTCCATTTGATCTATGTTATAGTCTCTCTGTAGTTTCAATTTTGTACTTCCAAACCAAATTGTCATCACAAAACAGAACCCAATTTCTTTTCTTTTAGTCTTCTACTTCATGTCAGTTGTACCTATTGATGCTCTAAGCCCTCTCTGTGATTCTGGGAGGAGCTCTCAAGCAAGGGCAAGGAGATGGTTCAGGATCTTTCCTGCGGTAGACAGCAAGGAAATTCCTCTGTAATTTCCACAGTTGGATCCATCTCCCTTTTTGAAGATTGTCACAATCATGGCAGTCCTGAGGTCATCAGGGATTTCCTCATCATTCCAGATCCTTAAGATAAGGGCATGGAGCTGTAATGTGGGCTCCTCAACCCCCTGCTTGAAGATTCTGGCAGGGATTTCATCAGTTCCCAATGCCTTGTATTCTTCATCTGCTTGATGGCATTCCT